TAATAGCACATACACAAATAAACAAAGATAGGCTCAACCCACTTAGAGATGGACCAACATTTGGCCGATCTGTCCCCAGTGAAGTCGCCATTTTTCTGTAGCGGTAGAAATGTTGAGACTAAGCCATTGGATTGACTTGACTCGCACAGATTAAAATAAAAATTGCCACCGCGCTTTATTGTTTCCAGAGGAATGGGAAAAGAGGGAATAACCAAAAAAAGAGTGGGAGAGAATCTAGGTACGGGGGTTGGTTATGCAAAGGGAAGTTATTAGAACCCTAAACATCTACGGTACTCCGCTTGAACCTCTTTGAAAAATTGTGCATTTTGGCTATAAGTGTCGTATACAAAATAGATGGTGGAGGTGAGAAAAGAATTTTTTTTTTACAATTTTTACAATTTTGGCTATTATGTACCACCTTCCGTGCAGTAGGGGATCAGGGTACTCATAGTTCACCTTTAAAATTTTAGAACACAAATGTGTTGGTTAATTTAGAGACGAGACATGATCTTAAATCCGAGTGGAAAACATACTTACTACCCACGATTATGAGAAAGGAGAATTTGCGTCATCTCAAAGTGGAGGATATAGCTTGGATTGTAAAATCAACAAAGCCTCGCTCAACACTCAAGTGGAAAATATCTCACTTTACTATATATCATAGAAGTATATTAGTTTGCATCACTACAAGGGTCGACAAGAGTCTAGTCTTTTGGAAAAAAATATTTTTAAAGAGAAAAGTGCACAAAATGATTTGAATGACTTAGAGTATTTTGTTTGGTGAATATCTCAAATGGTCCAAAGGTTGAGTTAAAGGGAAAGCTATCCTGATGTTATTGTACTTGTATTAACATCCTAAGGACTAATCAGCATAAGACGATTAAAATAAAAATTAATCGTCTCATGGAATCCTAAAGGAGCATGCCAGTTCAACACATAATAATCCTCAATACTCAAAATTCTTATCTGATCAACGTTACACAAAGAAAACACACGAGACATGATGTTTAAACTTGATTTAAAAAGAGATTAAAACATGAAGAAATAATAGAAATAACATCTAATTAAGTCCTAAAATACTCCTAAAAAGTCTAAAGCATTTTTTTATATATATTTTTATTATTTTTATTATTTTTTAATAAAAGAAATTAAAAATAATACAATAAAAATGGAGGAGAAAAATTAAAACAAAGAGAAATAGAGGGAGGTATGAAGTCAGAACCAAGGGGTGTAATCGGAAATGAACCATAAGCGCAAGGCCCAACTTATAAAGGTCCAGGAAGCAATCTTTGTTCTAATAATTTTATAAAATCCAATAAAACTTGTAATAGACCTAATGAAGGGTTTAAAAATGAGGCTCAAAGCAGATAGAGTCAAGGAGAATTTTTTTATGGTTTAAAGCAACAGGCTCTAAAATCTGCACGGGCTTAGGCAAAGAGTGCACTAATTTGGTCCAGCTCAACAACATATTATTTCTACTAAGATTTTTTTTTTATCATTACTTTTCAATTTTAAAAAAAATTATAATAAAATAATAAAAGAAGGAAATAAATAAAAGGTGAAGTGAAGTCATTTTTGTGGTGGAGATAGGGTTAAGGATTTGTGTGTTATTCAAGCTTCCACGATACACAAGCTCTCCTCTCTCGACCGCCATGGAATGTCTTCGAATTGGCTCAGATCTCCACCACTTGAACCTCCATTCCTTGCTATATGCTTATCAACGCAGCGCCACAATCATTATCATCTCTAATTTCGTTCTTCTCTCTCAATGCCGCAAACAGCTCTTCCAGCTTCGATCTCGATTTCATTCTGATGCCGCCATCTCAGAATCATCTCCAATGAATCATCAACATAACGCTCCATTGCATCTCCTTTGAAACTTCTTCTACGATCTCCCTATACTGCGGCTTCAGACCTCTCCGTGAAACAAAATGCAAACACTTTTGTCTCTCTCGATCTCTATTTATGTTGTCGCATTTTAATACTCACAGTAACATCTCACCATCTTTGTCTCGTATATTCTTTGATCGATACTAAAACAACCGGCTGAAAATCATCAAACAATGAAGTCACCATCGAACGTGTTTTATCCCACATGAAGGTAAATGTAAATATCGAGAAAACCTAAGAAGGGAGAAGTCACGGTCTTGCAACCGAGAGATCGGGTAAGGGAGTCTGTTACACGAGGGGAAGCTATTAGCACCCCACACGCATGTAGTACTCTACAGTATCCATTCTTGTTGTTATATCTTATGCGTGTGTCTAAACTATGTTTATTGTTTAATGCTGAGGAAGAATGCATGCAAAATAAAAGAGAAAATAATGTAGGGAAAATAAATTTGTGTTCGCTTGGGCCCTACCCTAATGCCTACATATCCTTTTTGAGGAATCGGAGTTATCATAGTTCGGCTCACATGTTTTTGTTTGTTTTGTGTTTTTTATGAACAATGTTAATTCTTCCTTCTACCGCAACTCGACCTTTAGAGACTCACGCATTGGCACAGAAGTAAATTAATCATGTCCTTGCTGAAAATGGTTTTTAGTTACACCCTCAAGGCAATATGCCACATTTTATTGGTTTGTGTTTTGTTACCTTGAAAAAGGGTTTAAGTGTGATTAAAGTGTTTTTAAGTTGTTAATAAGAGAGAGTTTTAGTTTTAAATGCATATGCAAAAGGGAGAAAACAACTAAGGGAGACTAGCCTAACATTACCCCTAATGTTATCATACAATGGTGGCCCTACGTCAAGAATGAAAGGGAAATCTCTACCTAATGTTAGCATGCATGGATTGCAACCTAAGGTCTAACTTGCATCCGGAAGGAACAAGTACATCCTAATGGAACCTGGTATGTACAAGGATAAAACAAACAAGCTCGAAAGAGCACACACATAAAATAGTAAGGAAAGGAACCAAATTGCTTTAGTCAAGGGGAGCGTATCACCCGAGACAAACAAGCGGGAGTGAGATGAAAAAACAAAAATGTGATGTCCAAAGCGACTGAACACCTAACTAAGATATAGCAGATCAAGGTAGGCGACAGAAGGCAATATGAACGATCACGGAGTATCAGCATCAGCCAATGCAAACTCTTGACAAAGCATGGGGGTTTGATTATGGAACCCTTCCCAACTTGACACACTCATTACATAAGAGCAGGCATAACTCCGAAGTATCGTGGTGCATCACGAGCTAAGGATGACACAGAAGAAATTGCGGGGGTTGATTGTGAACCCTCCTCGTTTGCCTCCTTTTGAGGACTTCAATAAGGGATGGGAAAACAATGCGGGCACAAATGTAAACATACGAGCGGAATACATACTCAAAGGTAGGGTTTTAAACAAACACAAATAGCAAACAGTATGCATACAATGCGAAATTACCCTAAATGGGTCTTTAAATAAACCAGAGGGATTATTGACATGATCAGCAACGAAAATCCCCCTCATACATCTCTACCATACTTCTCATGGCATCAGAAAGCAGTAAAGCCCTACTTCTCATGATCTCTAAAAAAGCGATAAAGTGCAGAAATGAGGAAGAAAATGAAGTTGCGATGATACCTAACAGAGAAGGTTTGTTTCCTCTTAAAAACCACGCAAGAGAAGACAGAACTCTACATAGAGATTCCTTGACGAAAATTGCACTCTTCGTTCACTCTGAAATCTTCTCAACTCAAGTATCTTTTTATTTGTTCACAAGCATATGCTAAATCAACTTCAAAAAACCATCAAACCATATGCCTTAGATAGGAGAAAATCGACCTAATCCACATATTATCAACAATTATCAATTTAGTTTTATTTAGGGTTCGAAATTTAAGGTTCCTCCTCTTCGCCTTTAGATGTTGGAGTATACTAAGGCGCAGGAGTATATTACATATTTTGTGTCGCCACCAGCTCTATGATACCTAAAGGAGCTACCCTCATTGCCATTCTTAGATTTGCTATGCCTTTTTCTCTTTCAGTCAGCTTCGACTTGGGATAAGACACCTTTGGGATTGGAAACTTTATTGGCTTCATAGCTTCTGTTGGTAGTATGCCTTTGACACGACTATTTTTTTCGACTGGCTTCAACTGGGATATTGAAGCTTCATTTACCGCCTTTTTGTTCCCCTAATAACAACTCCACTGAGTCCTTACCGTTGGGTTTTTTCCATTATAGTTGGGAGAAACTTGATAACCCTCTGACTCAATTTATTTTCCTGTGTCTTAGCTTCATGCACAATCACTTTCCACTTTGGCCTCTTGCCCCTTTTGGCTTACTGACTCCATCCATTTTTCTTGTGGAATATCTGATGGAGGGAGAAAGGTTTTTGGCCGCAATTGTTGAAATAAAAATGGTGGAACAATGTAAAAATGGATTAGGGTTCAAAATTTGTGTTCACCGGACTTCCACGACCGAACTTGTTCTCGTATCTTTAGTGACAACGGTGCTGGCAGCTCATTCTTATTTCGCGAGCACTTCTGCAATCTCACTAGTCATGATCGAGCCTTCATTCACCATCAAGAACTCATCCCCTTTTATTCTTTATCTCGCTTATTCACATCATCTATGTCTCAGTTTGTTCAAGACTCGGTCTCAGATTCCTCGGCCTCATTCATCTTGCGAGTCAGCCTAAATCTCATCCACTTCGATTCGCCACCATGAGCTCCGTCATTGTTTTTTCAAGACTCAGTCTCACTCCACTTCATGTTGTGTCTTTGATTTCATCTCACCTTCATCGATTCACATCTTATTTTTCGGTTTCGTTTTGATATGTTGTTGTTGTTGATTCTTACGATGTGTGTGGCTCTGTGTTGAGGAAGAGTTGAAGGTTCTTGAAGTTGAATCTTAGAGAAGATGTCATGTTAACTCTTTTAATTATATTATGAGTTTGTTATAGTTGGAATTGATTGCGAAATAATGATGACAATGATGAACGTTGTTGGAGCAAGGATGGTTGCATATTAGTGAAATTGCTTGCAGAATGAAGGTGAACGCAAAGAGATTGAGGAGAGGATGAAGGTGATGATTTCTCGGGTGAGTGTTTGTGTTGTCGAAGATGATTCTGTGTGAATGAGGTTTGCAGAAGATGTATGAAGACGAAGATTCTTAAGGGAAGAACGGTTATCCAGAAAAAGAATAGTGCATAGGTGAGTTTTCTTTTGTATTTTCTGATGAGTGAATCGTGCGCTTTCTCCTCTCTTCCCTTTATTTCTTTTTTCTGTTTTTCTTCTGTTATATACTTGCTGGAAGTTTGTTAGAGGGTGAGTTAGAGGATAGAAAGTTGGTTAGGAATCTGTTAGAAGTTTGCTAGGGACTGTTCTGAGAGTTAGTTAGGGTAGAAAAATTAGTTATGAGTTAAACCCTGTTAGGTTTAGTTATAGAAGTTAGTTAGGCTTGGGAAATTTGTCTTGGTTGTTATAGGCTAGTCGGTTAGAGGTAGTTAGGATATTCGATAGAGTTGACAGTAAAGTTGCATTTTTTTCCTTTTGTTTGAATTTGTGGATTGCTTTTATTTATGAACTATTTTATGATACTGATTTTCTGAAATGTACAGGGCTTGTGTAGGGTTGGCAATATTTATGCAGGTTTATGTGTTGTTTTCGGAAAGATTTTGGTAAGATCGGTGATTTGTTTTCATGATTAGCTAAAGGAAGAGGGAAATAAAGGGCACGTCATGAAGTTTGGTGTCTCTTTTGATGGTGCAGCAGGTTTGGTCATAGATAATGTGGATACAACATATAAACATGGTGAAGAAATTCAAGACATAAGGGCATCAAGCATGAAGATTATTTTAAGATGTTATGGAAGCTTGAAGTTTGGATTTGGCAACCTAAATCATGAATTTCATAAGTATAGAAACTTAGAATTCTTATGTTGAGGACCAACTTTGTAATGTGATGTTTAGAACTTTGTATTATTATAATTTTGAATGAAGTTGAATGAACTTTGATGGAGCTTGTATGATATGCTTGAATATCTTTGAATCTGATGAAATTTCTCCCATGTTATTTCTTTTCAAATGAATTCCACATAGTATCCACGCAATTCTCAATACTTAGCAAGTCCATGAAACAAAAATTTGATGGAAGAATTGGGAATGAATCCCTAATTAGATGGATGATAAATGAATGATGCATTCATAATTTTTTGTACAAAGATCTTGACTCATACACCTTTAATTGATGAAAGTTTGATACACTTAGTCTTGATCACTTAGTAAGCATAACCATAAGAAGATAAAAGTTGATCCACAAGCCTCAAAGGAATCCTCAAATAAATGACCCATCCTCGATTCCATGGTTCTTGATGAATGCTGATGGAAATATAGTCTTATAAGTTGACGAGACTCCAAATCATAATTACATTCCACGCTCAAATATAAACAACATTTGAACCATGCTCAATCGATACACCCATCTCGAACCATATGGGAACCCTAATATATTGACATATATAGGGAAATAAACCTTAGTCCAAGACCTTGATGAATTTGAATTGAGAATAACCCTTGTAGCTTGATGAAGAAAAGATCCACCATGATCATGATCCAAAACCCTAGCTTCAAACCATGATTGTTGAATAAACCAGTTGATTCAAGCTTGAATGAAGATGAGAGCCTAAAAGCACAAATAAATCCTAATTCCTCAGTATCCTTGATCCCATGCCAAATTATTGATTAATGATGCATGATGTTGTTAAATGGCCTAATGGGTGGTATGTACATGATGATTATGAGATGTGCAAGCTAAATGTTTCTTGATAGAAGGGTAGGACAAATTCAGGGTATTACAGACGCATCTCAAGTTCTCATCTTACAGCTCAGACTTATCATCATCGCTTATGTTCGATTTCATTGCAGATGCCTTCTCCTTCTTCTCCTTCACACTTTGCTTCAGATGGCGTGGCTCTCCCGTTAACATCTTTGTATCAACTTTGATTTCGCTTCTTCGCTCTCAATCTCATTTGCGGTTATGTTTGGGAAACTAATGGAGATGTGTTTAGGAAACTAACACAGATGAGTGTTTGGAAACTAAAAACCAGATGAGAACTGGGTTTAGAATTAATCTCCAGATGAGAACTGACTACCAGGCGAGAATTGGGTATAAAATTGATTTTCAGACGAGAATTGACTACCAGACGAGAACTGGGTTTAGAATTTATCGTCAGACGGGAACTGATTACCAAACAAGAGTTGGGCTTTGAATTGTTTTTCCATGGTGAGAACTGGATTTTGAAATGGTTAGCCAGAGCGGGAACTGGGCTTTAAAATGGTTTTCCAGGGAGAGAACTGGATTTTGAAATGCTTAGCCAGACCGGGAACTGGGCTTTGAAAAGGTTTTCCAGGGCGAGAACTGTATTTTGAAATGGTTAGCTAAAGTGGTAAATGGGCTTTGAAAAAGGTTTTCCAGGGCGAGAAATGGATTTTGAAATGGTTGGCCAGAGTGAGAACTGGGATTTGAAATGGTTTTCCAGAGCGAGAATTGGATTTTAAAATGGTTAGCCAGAGCGAGAACTGGGCTTTGAAATGGTTTTCCAGGGCGAGAACTGGATTTTGAAATGGTTAGCCAGAGCGGGAACTGGGCTTTGAAAAGGTTTTACATGGCAAGAACTGGATTTTGAAATGGTTAGACAGAGCGGGAGCTGGGCTTTGAAAATGTTTTTTAGGGCGAGAACTGGATTTTAAAATGGTTGGCCAGAGCGAGAACTGGGCTTTGAAATGGTTTTCCAGAGCGAGAACTGGATTTTGAAATGGTTATCCAGAGTGGGAAATGGGCTTTGAAATGGTTAGCCAGAGTGAGAACTAGGCTTTGAAATGGTTTTCCAGAGTGAGAACTGACTACCAGACGAAAATCGGGTTTAGAATGACAATGTGTATTGATTTTGCTGGGAATTCAGGGGTACAAGGTACTGGCACTGTTAGCTGGGCATTGTGAAGGTAAAGGTCATCAACTGGCGATTTGGGAGCGATATCCTCTTGTGGGGATGTATAATTGTATTTGAAGGATTCGGGTCTTTTGGGTAAGGTACCCGATCTAGCTTATGCTTTGTGTGCATGTTTGAATTTATTTTGCCACAAATATCCATTTTGATGGATCGGCTACACGCTTTTAAAGATGAAATGTTATGCAGTTATTGCTATATGCAATGCAAAGAAATAGACTTCATGAATATAAGCGAAGGCTCGTTGGGAACTATAGCTCATCACCGGGGATGACAGACAAGAACTGGTGTTGGAAACCTGTAATACCAAAGATCATTGGGGATACTGATAATAATTTTCACTGGGGAGCTCCGAAGATCATCGGCGACCCCGATGAAGATTGAATTGCAGACAAATTGAGATTACATGTATGCAACTGAGTTCTAAATCGCATTATTAGGGAAGAGATAATCTGGCCCGACTTCTCTACATCCTGAACAACTTGGATGATGGTAGAACTAAATATGTCGAGGAATGGGTACTGAACGCCATGTGGATCTCTACGAATACATGCCACCAGTTTACGCCACTCTGAGGAATTACCTCTTGAATCACTTGGGGATAAGAAGATAGTCATGGACACTTGCAAATGCCATAGTTTAGCTCTGCGAATTCCCCGGTTTACTACATTAGGGATGCTCTGGTTCAGCTTTGTTAATTCCCCGGTTTACTTCACTTGGGATGCACTTGCGCGTGCTAAGTCAAATGGCGACTCTAAACTTTCTGAATTCACTTGGGGAATTAGGTTTTAAATTGTTTGTAGCAGATGAGAACAACTTCACACACTGACCAGGTCGGAGTGATCGTTATGATACTTTTAGCCTGATTGTAGTCGTCTCGTACAACATTATTGGCTTGAGCAGCTTTGCGAGATTGGAGAGAGAATGCCCCTGTCTGGAGGATTTCCGAAAGAGTTTTGCTGAATAGAAGACCGGAATATTTGTGTTGCAATATGATATGAGGTGCCCTGCCCCAATCTCTTGAGTCAAAGAATAAATTGCTCTTGATTACAGCTTTCTTATGAGAGACTTGTCGAATCTCGATGTAACTACCCCATGTTAAATGAATTTTGAATAGATTTCTGGACGTGATAGCCTTAGAATGATCGGAAAAAGCTTGAAGAGATTTATCGATGTGATATCCTCTTATTGATATTAGCTTGAAGAGATTAATCGATGTTATAGCCTCTGATTGATAGCTTTGAGAGAATGCCCCAGATTTGGCTGAGCTCGAAGAGATCGAGTCTCGAATTGATTGCCCCAAATTGGAGGAATCTGCTAACTTCATCTCTAAAGGGTACTCAGACTGTAAATCACCAAGATGTTTTCTCTTAACAGAATCTCTGGTTGATGTGCCCCTCGATATGTCGTGTCTATTGTGACAGCTGACTTTTGCTTCGACAAAGTATTAAACTTCTCTTCTTTGACAAGATTGATCTCTTTGTTGATGTTCATTGTGTAAGCTTACTTGATGTCAATCAGTTGTTTTGTATGAAGAAGAATGTTTATTATGAGAATGATAATTCTAAAGCAACATGTATGTAATTCTTGAAGTTTTTTAAAAAACTTTGAATGAAATGATGTCACAACTCTGTTGTGAATGAATCACTATCTAGAGAGCAACATTTGCAAGTTCTTTTTGATGAAAGATAATGCAAGGATATGATGCCAACACAGATATTCAAACACACCTCTTAGGAGTCAGTTAGACGTTATCTCGTTGTAGCACGCTTTCAAATTGACCCATGCTTCAGTTAGGACTTTGAAAGGGTTGTAACGTGGCCTAGTTCACGGTTTTAAAAAAAGGATTTAAGGCTCAAAAATTTTAGTGCCCACTCATTCTCCATGATGTTCTCGAGTCCTATGTTCGGTTAAACCGATACAAGTGTTCATCTCTCAAAAGAGGAATTTTTTATGGTTGAGGAACCACATGGGTTTCTTGGACACGACAGTCATTAACTTTTGATTTTGGTGTCTGATCACAACGACCTTGTTCTTTAGATGAAGATTTTTATTGGTAATCCTCTTCTCGACTTTTAGGATTTTCAATTTCTTTCTCGCTTTCCCTAATTCCTTCCTGGACAAATTCTTTTGAATTTAGATTTGAAAGTCCAGCGAGATGCCCTAACTTTTGCCTAAGCGACTTGCTTTCAAGTTTCAACTTATCGGGGATTCCTATTTCTTTCTTTTTCATTCTTTCCAATTTGAACAATTCGTTAATCATTACGATGTCTTCGCTTTGTTGGAAGTGATTGTGATTGTCTGAATCTTTGGTATATGATGGATATCCATTGTTGTATCGTCATCTCGACTTCTTGATGTGTGAAAGACACCCATTGGGATATCGTCAATTGACGCACACTCCTGATAAGCGAGGGTTATCCATTGTGTTTTTGACTTACCTCAACCTTTTAAAGGATAACCAATGTTGTATCCTTGGATGTTCACTCTTGATGAGTTATGAACGCTTAATCAGATCAACGGAACACTACCCGCCCCAGGGTTGAAATGAGTGTTTTTTCTGAAAAGGAAAGAAAATCCTACTTCGAAGGCTCGGAGGGGTTAACAAGGGTTTATCTCCCTTATATCTATGGTTTTTAGGAATTTAAATAAAGGCATGTACATCGTCAACAGGGTCTTACTCAAAAGCATACCAACCCGAGATGTTTTGCATTTTTAGGTTATCATCATCCTCCCTCCAATCTTTACCTAAGCATAAGACTTCGAAACTTGGCATCAATATGCAAGTAAATCATTTAAAGAGTGATAATTAATGGATGAATAAAAATAAAAGGAACGCTTCAAGATGAGCATATTTATTGCATTAACATTTTCATTCGAAAATAGACACGTTTTTACATGCAAGCAATGTTTAAACAAACAAGCATTAATAGAAAT